CAACTCAGAGGGTCAGGGTTCACTAGGTCAAAGCCATTTCCTCTAGACCGCCACATGGGACTGACCGTGCTGTAAACCCAAAAAAGGGGGGTTTAAAGAGGAAGGGAGTCCAGAGAGTCAGATCTGCTTTATCTGTTCTCAGAGGGAACCACAGGCTGCTTTTTTTTTTTTATATATATTGTTTTCTCTTTTGTCACTCCCCTCCTGTACTCTGACCTCAGACGCACACGGGGCCTCGTGTCAGAGACGACTCCTGTGCCCGCCGTGTCGCTCTCTGCTCGGTGTTGTTGCGGCGTTGCGGGGTGCTGGTACCCATTGTTCTGGTCATGATGCAGACGGGACCACCTACCTCCAACACACATAATTCCCTGCTGCTGGTATTCCATGCATGTGACCAAAACTGTGAACCAGCGCAGATTTCTTTTGCGTGCTTGTGTCTGCGTACAGGTGCAGCAGTGAGACCTCCTGTTGTCCGATTGTCCATTATCGACTGCTTAATGTTCACTTGCATGTACGGTGAAGCGATTAGAGAGGAGTGCTGATGTGGAGTCTTGAAGACATAATTTACCTTTTGTCAAGTGTGTTCAGAGGGACACAAACGTTGGGATTTCTCTAAATAAATTGGTGATACTTAGCAAGAGTAGAGTGCACCTCTTTAAAAAAACGGCTGATTAGTATGAAAATCTCTGCTTACAACAAAAACTGAATGAATGAACTTCAGCTTCACAGCTTTGTTTGGTCGTGTTTTTAAAGGCTAACCTGTCTTAAAAGCCTCTAACCAAAGCAGAGCTGTGACTGAAGCGTGTGTACGTGTAACGACGTCTGACCCTCCCCTTTTGTCCCAGGACTGTTTGAGGGCCTGCCAGGAGCAAATCGAGCGTGTGCTGGCCACCAGCCTGCAGCAGGGCCAGCAGTGCCGGCAGGAGTCCACAGTCCGGGCAGGCAACAAGGCGAGGGAGCAGCAAGACCAGTCCAGCACCCCCACAGACGTACGGGACGTCAACTTATGAGTCCATGCGACTCATCTCACACACACACACACACACACACCACTCATGCCTGTCGACCAATGGACTGAGAAGATTCGAGTAGGGGGGGCGTGGGCTGCCAGTATCAGGATGCCAAATGAGTGATGGTGTGACCATTTATGAACTTTTAGAATATAAGAAATTTCTAGATTTTCTCCTTTTTTTTTTTTTTTTTCTTTTTTTTTTTAACCCCATTCGTTCATGGCTGGGTGTACTTTTCATTTAATCCAACAAGCTATTTAAAAAAAAAAAAACTTGATAGTGCCTAAGGTCTCCCGGAACGGAAACCTGAATATATTTTCATACTTGAAAAAAAAAAAAGAAAAATTATATGAAATATGCATATTTCTTTTGATACAACCTAGTATAAATAAATATAATAAATTTAGCTAGCATTTAGTTATATTACTCTTTTATCATCTTTTAGCCAGCAGTTATCAATTCACAGATCGATTTGAGGTTTCATCCTCGGGTCTGACTCCGACTCGTTCGTGCAGGAAGCTTCCTCTCGCAGTGATTTCAAAAGTGAGCAATGCAGTAAACGGCATTTCAACTGAGCTGACATCCAAACAAAGGAGCGCTACAGTAGCTAGCTGCCCGCTCTGTTTTATCATACTGTGCACCTGTAGCACCGCTTCCTATTTATGCTGAAAAGTCGAGGCCAGGAGTGGGCTGGGCCTGCTCACACAGGACGGGCTTGAGGGGCTTTGAGGCTACTGTTAGCGACATACGCAAACACAGAAGACTATATTAAAGTGTGGATCTCACTGCTCAAGCCGCCGTTTGTTAACAGGATCATATGTACATGTATTATAATTCAGATAGGCTTACGTTATTATTGTTCAGTTCTTGCTCTGGCTTGTTCCAAAGCAGTTTGCCAAGAAGTTTTCTGATGTCATGTTAGTGGAAGAAAAGGATTTGTACGTTGTTTTTTTTTTTACCAGGTTTGAGAGGAAAATGAACGCAGTTTGAAGGTTTTTTTTTTTTTTTTTTTGGGAGTGTTTTAAAGGAAAAGATGCGCATGTTGAAGCGGGATAAGTCTGGATAGTGTGTTTGATAACGACTCAGAGAGGGACGATAACTTAAGCTATATAACGTTTCTGCAGTTGCACGATACTTGAGTGACACACAGGAGGAGGAGGAGGAGGAGGAGGAGGAGGAGGAGGAATAATCCCAGATAAAGTCTGGGCTATCAGTTTGAGGTCTGCTGCAGTTTCTCCTGTTATCAATTTTACTTTTTTTTTTTTTTTTGAGAGAGCAGGCGACTTGGAACAAAATTGATGCACTTTTAAAAACACACTCCTTAAAATGGGTAAGGGGATGGTGGTTGAGGAGAGTTCAGTGGGTTGTTAGGGTAATTGTTTTAATTTTTCCTTTTAAATTATTTGATTTTTTTTTTTTTTGGGCTGGATTCCCATGGGGTTACGCACGTTGTCTTGAAAGCTACGCCCCGATAGCTGAGTAGACATAGGATAATCGGTGTAATAGAATATATACTAAGACAAGCCAAGTCACTTATAGACTTAGATTACTTCTTTTTTTTTTTTTTTGGATTCAGTGCGATTATTTAACCTTGAACTTGAATTTTATTTTTTTTCTTCTTCGCCAAAACCTTCCAATAGTTCTTTAAAGAGTTCCAACACATTCTGTCTCCTGAATATCCTTTCTCCTTGTTTTGCTCCTTTTTTGATGTAATCTGCTCTCTGATCTGAAGTTTGAGGACTCTTCTCCGTCGTATCCTTATCGTAGGTTTTTCGGGTTTACATTTTGGGAAAGTGTGACTGTATATAGCCGATTTCCTCCAGACGCAGAAGTGCCACAAATCCTCTTTACATGTGAACAGAAATGTCGTTTCTAAATCGTTTCTGTGCATGTTCTGTTTGTGCAAAAGCCAAATGTTTTTCACACCCCCGCCCAAAAAAAAAAGATGCTTTATCCAGAAAACAAGTTTCTGCTTTTTAAGGGTTTGTGTGTAATTCAAAAGAAATAATTCCAAAGTGAGAAAACTAGATTATACACATCAGTCTGTTGCTGCTATGAAGCTTTTTCTTTTCTAGTCTTACACAAAGATGCCTTATTGTGATTCACTTGTGTGCTGCTATATTATGAAATGTTGGATATGTAACGAGTCTTTTTTTTTTTTTTTTTTTTGCTTCTCTGTTGTTTGTGTACTGGAGGGAACGCCACAGTTTGGTGCGGGACTGGAAGTACTTTTGTTTATTGATTTTTTTGATTAGCATGTTTTACCCTTTTTTTTTTTTTTGTCTCATTTGTATCTTTATAATCTATCATATTCTTGCTGCTTCTTTATGTTTGTGTACCTCAGGTTTAATTTGGATGGATAGAGCGAGAGCCCAACTCGCATTACCTCATCAAAACTTCACACCGCACACACACACACACATTTTGTTTTCACTCTGAATTTGTTGGACGGGTTTCACTTCTTTTTTTTTTTTTTTTCTGTCTGGATGAGAGGAAAGACGGTGCTTCTCTTCTTCTCTATAAATCAAAACAATGTCTTCCACTGTGCATTCATAAGTGCCTTGACTTTAAGAATAGGTTATTTCATATATGTAAGTCAAAAAGAAGCCTGTGCTGTACGTTATACACGTATCGGAAAGACAAAAAAAAATAGTTTTTTTTTCTCTTCTTGGGAGTTTCATCAGCATGTTTCGATCAGTTCATTGGCGTAAAATGAAATGTTTGATTTTGAGGTACCATTTGGTCGACTTTTTAAACCACAAGAATGTTTTTGTCATTGTTCAGTGTGGTTGTTATTCTAAACTCCTCTCCCACTATCCCCATCTGCAACCACACAGCGTACCTCAAATATTTCATCAATAAAATTGGCCAAAATCATCTGACTTGTTTATTATTCTTCCTCCTCTGCTACTGTTCGGACTATTCATTCATTGAATTGTGCCTCTGATCTGCCTGTGAAGTTTGTTTTTGCCACTAGAGGGTGACAAAACCAAGAAAAGCTGTACTGCCTTCACAACTGAACACAAATGAACTCACAGGCTGAAAAACATATAAGTAAAAAAAGAAATGTATTGAACAAGCAGTTTACAAAAACATAAAGTACAAGGGTATATCAGATTTGTCTGCCATGAATTATGAGGATGTATGTTAAAAGTTTCACTCCAGATAATCCAACAGTCAGCATGCTGCCTAAAATATTTTGGATTTTTTCCTCCACACAAACATTTTTTTTTTAAAATGGCCTAAAGATGTCCAGGAGTGAAAAACTTTTAAGTGAATGTGTGAATATTAATCTGAGTAGAAAAAAACCAGCATTACAAAAATTACACAACGTTTTATTTAATTTATATTCACTTCGGATCTTCAGACATAATTACGGTGGCTGGGAAGTGCAAAGCAAAATTACAAAGTGTTAAACACTTTTACAAAATGTGAGACAAATTTGCATTTTTGAAACAAAATCACAAAACCAAAAACACTTACCAAGGATAAAACAAATTTACAAGATGTGAAACACTTCTACAATCGCTGAGACAAATTTGCATTTTTGAAACAAAATCACAAAACCAAAAACACTTATCAAGGATAAAAAATTTACAAGATGTGAAACACTTAGAATCGCTGAGACAAATTTACAAGAGGCAGAACACTTCTACCAGCCCCCCAAACAAATTTACAAACGACAGAATCTTGACGGAAAGAGAATGTACCGCGACAAAACAAAACAAACAAAAATGACCCCTCACTCCGGGTCACTTCCGACATTTGGTACGTTCCCATTTTGTCAAGATTCTGTCGTTTGTAAATTTGTTTTATAAAATGTAAATGTGTTTTTTTTTCTTAAGAAAAGTGTTTTGGTTTTGTAATTTTGTTTTCTTAAAATATTAAAAGGTTTTTCAAAATGTAAATTTTTTAATTTTGCTTTGCACTTCCCAAGCCACCGTACCATAATGATTACGCAGCTCTCCTGCAGTGCGATTTGCTTCGCTTCAGAGCGCAGGTGCTACGTCACATAAATCAGCTGCGCACGCATCAACGAGGAAGTAACCTCGAAACTGCTGCTGCTGAAAATGTTTACATTCAGTTTGACGCTCGTACGACAGTAAGTTATTATTATTATTAGTTTAAAGTGTTATATGTTTATGTATATGTTCACAGACTTGAAAACACAATCATTTATTATTTGTTTATTTCACGTTTTCGGTTCCGTGACGAAGCTGCACAGCGGCTGAATCAGCTGTTTTACAAGGACGCGACTTTGCTGACTTCTTCTCTGCAAAGCTGCCCAAAACATTTTAAAAAAATGTATCCTTAGCTTGTTGTTACATGTTACATAAACTGAAGATAATTTTTTTGTCATTGCTGTGTTTTCACTCAGTGGAGAAACACAGTACAACAGGGACAAGCTTCTGCAAGGTAGGTTATTTGTTGTGGGTGATTTACCTGTACGCAGTGGGTGATTTAATTTGGTTATATGATATGCATGCATTATTATATCACAGATATCTCATGCACCCTCTCTGTGATTTTTGAAGGACAAGGTGTGGACACGTCTTTATCAGAGACAGGTGTGCAGCAGGGTGAGGCGGTGGGAAGATACCTCAAAGGAATCCCGTTCAACCACGTGTTCGTCAGTAACCTCCAACGAGCAGTACAGGTAAGACTGCACCTTTTTACTCAGTGGCTATAAAACCCTACACACAGGGCCATAAGACGTGTTCTTCAATGTGGAGGTCAAACACAGATTTAAAGCTGTATGCTTCGTGTACATACATCAATGGTCAATCAGTCACTTTTTATTTGTATGACATCGACTCATAACAAGTGTTATCTCAAGACACTTTACAAAAAGCAGGTAAAATATCTTACTCTCTGTCTGTTAACATTACAAAAGAGCATCAGTATTCATACAGTTCTTACTTTATTCCTCATGTTTCTTATCCATCATTGCACTATGATCACTTTATTTATTTCATTTTTACCTTTACAGTTATATTGTTTATATTAGTTCTGTTGTTCCATTATTCACCATACACCTTAATAAGTTATCATTTAGTATTTGCCTACCTGCACATAGCTCTGTATATATATATATATATATGTATTTCTCGTTTACTGCATATAGTTCTGTTTACATCTGTTAGTCCGATCACTGTCCACTTATATCTACTCTTTTATATTTTGTATTTTAAGTTGTATTTAAATTGACACTTTATATTTAGGTTAAAATGTTTTGTTTACCTGCACTGTTGTTATTTTGCTGCAACTGTGTGCCTTTGAATTGCCCCCCGTGGACAAATAAAGTTCTTTGAATTGAATTGAGCAGGTAAAAAGACCTTACTCATTGTTATGTTACAAAGACCCGGCCTATCCATCATGAGCACTTTAGCAAAGCAGCTAAAGTTACAGTGGTAAGAAAAAACTGTCTTATTAAAAGGCAGAAATCTTAGGCTGGATCCCCGGCTCATGATGAAACAGCCTTCACAGGCCGAGACTGCACCAGGCTTGGAAAGGGATAGAGGGAGAGATGGGATAAGATGCAGGAAGAGGGATAGGGAGCAAGGGGGGGAGGCAAACCATCCATCAACAATCCGGTGGGGAGGGGGGGGGGGGTTGTACTGGCAGGCCGTCAACCAACGATCTCGAGGAGCCTAAGTAACTCGGTCTGCAGAGACTTGGGTTGAGAAGCGGACGGTCGCCGGTTCAAAAGTGTGGAAGTTGGTTGCAGGAGATGTTGCCAGGTCACTTTCAAGAGTACTGCCCAGGTTCCCTTAAGCAAAGAACAGAACCGCCAGCAGCTCTGCTTGTGTAGCAGTCCCACTCTGACATCTCTCCATTAATGCATGTCCACAGGTCCTGTTTGTGCATGTGTGTACTTCAGGCCTATATGTGTGTCTCAGAATAACAGAGAACTTCCCCTCAAGGGTTAATAAAGTATATAAAATAAAAACATTCAATACAAAATGTATCCTGGTTTAGAACACCCTCTGGTCATGAGGATTGTAGCCTTTTGTTGGAGCTTCTCAACGTTACACTGACATTAAACCACACACTGTTAATGAGACTAATGTCTCTGCTGCCTTCAGGTGCTTTCAGTCATTCTGAGTTATATGTTTCAGTTTGGCTCATAGGTAATCTGTATATATGGGAATCTGTTGAGCCTTGAATATGAGTGGCTTCACTCTTTCTCCCATCAGGAACAAATAACTGTATCAAACCAGTCTCTTGTTTTCTCCTGATCGTGAGGAAAGATGGAGGAACAGGATGCATGAGAAAGACTTTCAGTCCAGACATGAAATAGTTGTGTGAGCATTCATGTCTCTGTTGTCTTTGACTCAGTGATGCTGACGATGTATTCATGACTTTCTTTCGGTTTGAGCAACGGCAGATTCTTTTTATGCACTTACCAAATGTTTGGAGTCAGTAATTTCCAGTCTTCATTTCCTCTGTTAGACGGCTGAACTCATTCTGAGCAACAACACTCACTGCTCTGGCATGGAGATGGTTTTGGAGCCGTTACTCAGAGAGAGGGTAAGATCAGTTGGTTTTGTACTTCTTCAAAGTATAAAGTGGTAGTTTGATAAGTTTTGTTTTCAGAACTCTAAATTGGTGGTTTGATTTGTGAACGCAGGGTTTTGGTGTTTGTGAAGGTCATCCTAAAGAGGACCTGAAGAACATGGCCAACGCCTGTGGTCAGCCATGTCGTGATTTCACACCTCCCGGGGGAGAGACTTTGGACCAGGTGAGTCAGTCTTTCTCAAACAGCCACTAAATGAAACACAAGGTCAGAGAGTGTAGATTGTGCAACAGCGCCCCCCTGTGCTCAATGTTTGGTATTTCATTTAAGAGCTCATGGCAAACATCACTGTTGCTGACTTTGTTTTTATTCCATACAAAAAGTAATATGTAGAAAACTGAGAATCTTATCAAACAAGGAGACCTGAGTAATCTGTGAGTTATTCAACAGTAATTCAGTGTTTTACTCTTAAAGCTTGAACAGATTTGTCCAATTAATGAATCAATACATTTTAAATAAAAGTCAAATGCAGACAAGTTGCCATTTGTTGGACGTACTTGCTTGATATGCTGGTAATAAGGCAAGTTTATTTATGTCGCACATTTCAACAACAAGGCAATTCAACGTGCTTCACATCAAGACATCAAAAAGCATCATGACAGAGAAAGAAAAGAAACATTAAAATAGAAATTTAAAAATCACTGAAATTATTCAATCTGAAAATGTTCTAATAAAAATAATTTAAAAAAGTAAAGAAATAATAATAATAATGATTACAGTGCAGAGAAAAAGTTTTTAATCTTATTAAAGCTGTTTATTTAAAGGCAGCTGTAAACAGGTGAGTCTTCAACCTGGATTTAAAAGCGCCGAGAGTTTCAGCTGACCTGCAGTTTTCTTGGAGTTTGTTCCAGATATAAGTAGAGTTATTAAACAAGAAAGAAAACAAGGCTGTCAAATTACACAAGGCTTGTCTGAGGGTTCATGCACACACTCAGACCGGCTCAGGTTTCCAATATTCTTCTGGTTGAACCTTCACCTCTGAGCTCTGGCTCAATGTCACCTTGTTTCCAGGTGAGGCTGCGGTTCAAAAAATTCCTCAAAGTCCTTTTCAAACGATTGTTGGAGGAGCACGGCTGGTCCCAACCAGACGCTTCTGCGGGATTATCAGAAGCCGCAAACGGGACCTCGGCCGCCGCCGCCTCGGACACTGCACCCGCCGGTTCTGCAGACGACGGCCTCCAGGGAGTGTCGGTCCACGCCCTGGTCGTGAGTCACGGCGCTTACATCCGAGTAGCCAACAAACACCTGGTGGAGGACTTGGACAGCTCTCTGCCCGCGGGGGTGAGGATGTCCCAGCTGTTCTCACCCTGTCCAAACACGGGAATCGCCCGTTTCCTCGTCACTTTGAGCAAGTCTGAGTCCGGCTCTCCCGTCCTCACCGCTGTTCGCTGCTTCTTCACGAACAGGAAGAGTCACCTGGATGACCTCCAAGCTGCTGAATAATGTCGAGGGGAAGAAAGGGATGGAAACACCGTCTCTCTGACGCGAACAATCAAGAACACTTCAATGCACAGGGTTAAAGATGTGTTTAAATGTTGATAGTGAGTCAAAATCATTTTGCACTACTGTGTTATCAAACACTCCTCATCCTCCCAGCTGGAGGCCAGTGTGTACTTTTTAATGTGTATTTTAATCACCTCGTTTATCATGTTATACCAAAGTCAGAACTATTGCATATGTTATGAAGCTCTGTCATCGTGTGTGTGTGTGTGTCTTCTCATTGAACTCGTGCAATACAACATGAAAACACTGAATTATCATATTTATAGACGACATGAGATAATGCAGTGTTGCACTCCATAAAAATACTGCAAAGAGACATTGGTGGCGTTTGTATTTGAGTGTTTATTTGAGGCCTCTCAGTGTTAAATTGAAGTGCTTTATCTTTTTCTATTTTTAGAGTTTTTATCCCCCCCTCCCTCCCCTCCTCTCGGCTGTATGGCTGAGCCTTGAAGCTCATCACGGCCTGAATAATTCAAAAAACGACGTGATCTTTTAATTCTAAAACTTCAAGGTAAAAAAAAAAAAAAGCTAAAAATACAAGCACAAAGGGAGTAATAGAAAAATCTCACCATCCAGATTATTGTGTGTGACAGCATTTATACAGTGCTGCTTGTAGCAGAAGGGATTTCGATGCCTGTCGGTTGTTTTGTCACTTCTGTTTGGACCTACTGATGAGGTGGAGTCTTCTGTCAGCTCATCAGCTTATTTGACTTTGTGCAATATAACGTAAACAACACTGACTTGTTTTGTTTGAGTGCTTCTTTCTGTGTCACTTTGTGGGGAAAAAAACAAGACGTGATTGTTTTTCTGGTCATGCAACAAATCAGAGCAGCAGGGTTTAAGACAAAGAGTGAGCTGTTTGTAAAGTATTAAATTATTCTGATAAATAACTAAATGTATCGTATAAAGGCTACCTGCTCACTTAGTCTTGGTTTTTTTCGGGCATCCCTGATCTTTCATATCTCTGACACACGTTTGTTTGTCGAGTGTAACCCCTGTTATAAATTGCTTCTGTAACATATCTCAAACATCTGACGAGATCCGCTTCCTCTCAACTGGAGTAACCTCAAAGACTCTTTTCTTCACTTTGAAGAGATTTGACAGTTAACTAAAATAAACAATCACACTTAAATAGCTTCAATATTCTGCTTCTAGTACATCATCAAGAATGTATTCAATGTAACTTAAGTTATAGAAATGTTAATGCCTCGTGTGTTGTTTGTCGAGAACGACACAAAGATACGTTTTAAAATCTTTAAAGTTAGAGGTCATGAGTGTGGAAGCAGTCACTTCCTGGAAGCTATGTGGTTGCCTGGCAACTGCAGCAGCTTGAAGCGGTGTTTCCAAAATGTCAAACAGTTGTTTTATTGGTCAAAGGACCAATGAGAAATGACTCGGCTGAAAATCGTGTTCTCTTTTATGTAAATATCCTGTAAACATGCAGGATATGAAGTGTTTTATTTCTGTCTGTGTTGGTTGAACATGTTCATGACTTCCTGTTTGGAGGCTCACCAGGTTTGCATAAATGACACACAACACTTTTTAATGTTTCCTTTGTTTATTTTGTCCAGCAACACTTTATCCACAAGTCCAACTCATACATTCAAAGACAAACCGTGTTCTCTTTATGTACATCTTTGAGTATAAATACCATAAATAACAAGAAAGGAATTAAATAAATAAATACTCTTTGGGACTGGATGACGTGTGTATAGTTGGTGGTGCCCGGCACCTGTAGAAATCTCAGAGTTCAGATTTCATATCAAGATGTACTGCTCTGTAAAGGTGATTTACCCTGTACTTATATTCCTTCAAGTCATGAATTACACTTTCATATACAGACACATTAACACAACAACTATTGTCTATCCGACTCTGTGAGCTACGGACTTTAAAATACAAGCAAAACTCAACTAAACGCTCCTCTTAAAGTATATTTATGTCATCTTCAAATCCCTGTCGGCCTAGTTTCACACCACCAAACAGGCCCTTCAGTCCAACAGAGGTACACAAAGAAATGCTTCTCTACTCAACTAACTCAAAAGTCACTTTAAAAAATGTGGGTTTCTCAGACCAGCTGTAAAAAAACCTCAAAGAGACCAAACAAAAACACACATAAAGGACTTCCCCTCGTGTTGGGATTATTAGTTTCTATGGCCTAGTTTGCTTTTTCAGATAAAAGTTGGACAGAGCTTTGATTGCAATGTCACAGAAAATAATTTATGAGGTTGCACAACTTGTAATGACTAACTCCAAATAAATCAGCTTTGATAAACCAGCAACCTGAAAGAGAAAACTTTAAGTATGTTTAAAACTCTGCTTGGGTGTCAGATTTCAGTCCTGTAGGAATAACATTTAGGATCATTTCATTATTGTTTCATTATTAATAAAGTGAACCCAGGCAAAAATCATTAACTTGATTGATGAAACTTCAATCTGATACCAAAGCAGAGGATGTACAAACACTATAGATTGTGCAGAAGAGACTGCATGTCAAGTCTGATAGCTCAGTTTTTCTGAATGAGAGATGAAAAGAAGGAAATACCTGAATGGTCTACTTTCATTTGTTTTTAAATAACTGATATAAAGGCCTGTTTCCCCTCATATAATATCAAACTACAAAGTAAAACTTGGATTCACTCAGATTAGATTAGCAGGATTGTTTGGTATTTAAATCACCCAATGGTTCCGGAGCTCCGGGGGCTTCCCGGGTTGGACGACAGCACGTTCCAGGGGTCGTCGACGGACGGAGCCTGCGCCGTCTCCCGGGACACGTTGCGCCCATCGTCCCCGGCCTCGACTCCACCTCCAGCTCCAGCTCCAAGTCGGCATCGTCCTCCGGCACGGCCCGGGAGTCCGAGCCCTCCTCGGTCCTGCCGATGAAGACGTTGAGCGGGTCTGAGGGATCCACCACCTGGTTCCTCTTCTCCCTGAGCAGGAGGCGCTCCAGCGGGACCGTGTTCTTCCGGGGCAGGAAGATGGAGGTCTGCGGAAGGTTCTGGCCCGCCGAGAACACCTGCCGAGAGCCCTCCAGGTTGAAGAGGATGCCGGTCCGGATGGAGTAGTACACGTCCCGGTTGTTCTCCAGAAGTTTGTGGTTGAACAGACAGTCGTCCCTGAGGCAGATGGGCTGAAAGAAAGAGAGAGAGGGACTTTAATTTACTCTATTTAATTTAGCACAGACACAGAACATATTTATAGCAAGAAAGAACAACAACCCAAACACGAAATGTTAAGGTAGGACAACCTGTGGGAGAGGTTGTGAAAACGAAAATCAATCAGCAATAGTGCAAATTAAAGTGTTAAAAATTGGTTATTTCGCGTTTGTTTCCCAAAATATGTTTTTGTTTTTTTGCTCGATACATTTTTTTTCTTTGCTTTTAAGGAACATGTCTGTCAAAAAGCTAAACTTTGGGGAAATAAGTTCACTTTGGTTCGCTTAGTTATCAATGAAATCATAGAACAGAAAAATTAATGAACCAGTTGTTGCTGTAATTTTGTGCGTAAAAGCGCGTAGAAACGTGGATAGAAAGCTGTGCGTAAAACGCCCCAAACCTGAGAACAAATAAAACGTTTTTTGATCAGTTCATAAAAAAGGTAAATCAGCCGAACTGAGACATAAAAGAGTTGACTGAACTGACGTCATAAAGTTGTGCGTAAAAGAAGAACACGTTCTAGAAAGCGGTTTTAAAACTCGTTTCAGGGGTGCCAAACTAAACACACAGGATCAAAAGTTTACAGATGACATTTCTGATCAATCATTCGAACTGGAGGAAAGTTTTTGCTTACAGAGCTGAATGGGTTTCCCTCCAAATCCATACACAGGTAGCGGCTACTCTTGACTCCGAGGATGGCGATGCGCTCTCTCGTTTCTGCTTTCAGTAAAATCACACCTGCAGGAAAGAAGAGAGGATGAGCAACAAGCTGTTAAAGACAGAACTTTTTATATACCAACATTTCAAAAATCAAATGGGCATGAATCTTACTATATGAACTCCTGACGGTGGTTTTGCGCACGGTGCCATCTAATCTGATCTCCAGGTAGAAGTTGTTATGGTCTGTGGATGTTTGCAGGTGGACATATCTCCTCGGGTTCCCCCAGTTGGATCCAACCAGCGGTGAGTGGTTCGGGGCCGTTTCCCCGAGAGGAAATCCCTGCATGACTGCGAGGAAGAGAGCCAGCACAGTGTCCCTCATCCCCAGTCTCCTGTTGACGTCCATCCTGCAGCAGCAACAACAAAAAAGAACCCGACGCTTTCCACTGCGAGCTGCTGGAAGGTTTTCAGATGCTCTGTTGTCCCAAAGTTTGGAGACAGTTCCTATTTAAAGCCCCCCGAGTGCCACTCCTGCTCACATCCTTTTGGGTTAAAAAAGAAACTCGCCCCCAAAGCAGATGTGCGGGTGTTGTGCAGCGGAAGGGCCACTTCCACCTCTGTCTGTTTACCCTGATGCTCTCGGTCAGACACGACTCTTATTTTTGGTGATACGTCTTGACTCATCCACCTTGAACTTTATTTATTCCCAGACTATTTCCTAATGGTCCACAGTCCACACGTTCAGTTTTTTAGTTTTGTGTCACATGGTGTGTCGAGCAAGAAAACAAAAAGCAAGACAAACATGCAGAAAAATGAAAAAGAAGGATACAAGGTGCTTTCGGTTAGTTTAAGATCTAATATCAGAATTCTGGTTCGATTTATAATCACGAATTTAATAGCAAATTATATTAAAGAACTTCCAGTTTTGTCCAACCGAGATTGACTATGAACAAAATGTTTGGGCACTATTTGTGGGTAGTTCCGTTTACAGCTTTTTACGCACCAAATCAACATGTTCAAAATGTCACCAGCAGAGGGAGCCACCTGCTTGTTTAAGTCTGCCTCACTGGGAGACTCTGAAATAGATTTTGAAAACTATTTCTGGACGAAGTAGTTACAGCATAGAACTCTTTAAACTGTAGACCAGTGTAAAAAAAAAAAAGAAGCCTCTTAAAGGTCTGAATTCTGTCTCTCTTCTAGCTGGAGAAAAACACACTTCAGTAGCTTCCAGTTTAATGTTTAAGCATTTTTATTGTATGAAACTTTATACTCATCAGGTTACTTTCAGATGTAGATTCAGAAATAAAGCTGCAAAAGTAGAATATAAAATTAAATGCATTTTTTTATTATAAATTAAACTTGTTCTTTCCCTTTGGGCTCAAAGCAGTGTGTAGTGTTGCCTCTTGACATATCTCTGTTTTCATGGCATGACTTGACAGATTTCCACTCTCAACTTCTCAGACGGTTTCTGTTTATGGTCCAAATTGTCATATTATATATTTTTTTAAATAAGAAAAACGTAAATATTTATGCCATCACTATTATTATTATTATTATTTTGCATACCATTATTCCTTCCCATCTTAGGACTCTGTTGAGGGGCTTGACCCCTAGGTTTAGAAAACCTCCCATGATTTAAAATTGAGCCAAATGCAGAAGTGTAAAATCACTGCAGTTCCTCGAGTGTCCACTAGAGGGCTAGCTTCGAAAGCCCCACAATTCACATACACAACGTTCAAAAATTCCCATTTTGACAGCCGAGATAAGAATGTTTACAGCCTGATCTGAAAAAAGTTCCGGTCTGAATAGATCACATCTTTATCTGCACACACTTAAAGGCTTTATGTGATTTTTGATCCAGCAGATGTCGCCCTTGAGCACCAGCATGAAACTAAAACAACTCTTGCTGCATTGTTGTGTTAGCATGCTAATGCTAGCGATCTTTATTATGCTCGTATCTTCACACTGCATGTAAATTTACCTGAAATGAGCGTGATCTAGAAACACAGTTAAGCAGTGAGTACAGTATGTTATTCTTCTTTTCTCTAGTCCCTCAATTAAACAACTTTTATACACGAGGGGAGGAGTCAGCCGGCCGTCCCGGCGATGTAAACAAAGTGAAGATAGGACTCTGAAAACTCTGAAAACATCACAGACAGTGGGACTCGGGTGTTACACCCATTGTAGACAGTCATGACTCACAGAGTTATTTTCAGAGGATATACTTGATTTATACATTTAAGTGTGAAAAATCACATATAAAGACTTTAACAGGGTGATTTTTTTTAGAAATCATCCGCTTTGACTTCATGACTGATAAGAGTTATGTGTGACTGATATGATTACAAGCAGGCTCATTACAGCTGTTTGTCAGGACTTGTTGATATTTTTGTACTTTTACTGAATTTGTTTCTTCATGTCAGGACTTTGACACATACTTGTAATGCTGTGGTGGTGCTTCTACTTATAAATAAAAGATCTGAACACATCTCCTTAGACTGCTTCATACAAGAAGAATGACACATTAAAAGCAAACAGTTAAAAAAAAAACTTTTATTGTTGTCTCAGGAATACAGTAGACTGCTGTGCACAGCACATACGTACAAAAATAAAAGGAAAAAACTTTAATATCCTTACTTAGCATTGTCTGTTTTTCAGAAACAAAGAACTGACGTTTGTTTCGTCTTCATTTACAGTCATCAGCAAACCAAAACTAAGGCAGAGGGTGAGGTATATGAGAACAGAGATGAGAGGAATAGGGTGAAGCCTCACTCCCTTTCAGAGCTGGAGTTTGAAAACAAACAAACACATGAAGCGCACACCCCTAATTAAGAGCGGGGCTCAGGCATGCTGATAGATCAATGCACATTGTGAAAAAAAGTTATTCCTCACCTTCGCTTCAATGTGAATTGATCTACAATAAGCTGCGGGGTCGACAGAAATCTGGGTACAAAATTTTGGTCGAAGCTGAAAGTTGAGCCTTTTGTTTTTTAAGACACAGGCCCGCACTCTTTTTAGGGATCCAGCTCTACTTGTTTACAGAAAACGATAGCTTATGCTCAAGACGTCCTTTTAGAAGGTGTTTCTCATGGCGTCTCGACTGTGGAGGGAGGCATGAAAAAGTGCTTCTTGTCGTACATGCTGAATGATCACTTCAACACTTTTCGCAGCAGAAAAAAAGCAAAAATGTAGAGATTTTTTTTTTGTATTCTACTTCTGTCAACAACAATGATTTTACTCCAAACCAGGAGCGTGCATCTGTTGTACCTTACTCAGCCTCATCTACAGCAGCAACAAGTCCTTTTGTTTGAGCTAAGCATCTCTGCAAAAAAAAACAACTGTATGTCCTCTGACAGAAAAAAGCGATAGACGATGTGAGGGGAAAAATACTGTTAAAAATGAGACAAATGAGCAGCAGCTGATACTGTGTAGTGAAAAAGAGTTTCAGGGTCCGGGGGGCGGTGCCCAGCAGCAGCAGCAGCAGCAGCAGCCTCCTGAGGGTTTTGGCTGTGGTGCCATCCTGCAGGATTGGAGTGCAGCAGCAGCAGAGGTGAGGCTCTGCGTGACTCTGCTCCTCTACACACTGCATTCACTCTGCAGATGTCCCCTCCCCAGAAATATCCCAGCACCAGTGCCTGGAAAGGGGAGGGGGACGGCATGTTGTGGAGCTGCATTTTAAAGAGGTGAGGCTCTTGATTATAAGAAGAAAGGCGATTTTAAAGAAAATTTATCAGTTGAGAAACCAGTCATGAGTTCACTTTTACACAAAAAAACAAAACTGTGTTTTCTGATGAAAAAGATGCTTTAAATTCTTATTTCATGGAAACAGTGTGACCCATTTAGCCGACCACCGCGGCCACTGGGGTCGAGGCCAAGGCCGGATGATGACTCTGACCTTGAACTAAAAAAGGCTGAAAGGAGAGGAGGAAGCTCCTGGGTTACAGCCGGAATCCCAAGGTCCCTGTCTGCAGCGGGTTTGGAGGGGGGTAAGAGATGGGTGTAGAGGTGGGCGGTGAGGGGTGATAGAGGAGGATTTGGTGGGAGGGAGGGGGGGCAGGAGGGGGCCTCAGGTATGTGGGAGGCAGCCTGTCATCCTGGCCGATCCACATTCCTGCAGGGGGGGTATGACGTACAACAAAGACAAGCGGGGCCGGCTCCTTTGCATACGTCTTTCCTGGATTTAAATAGTCCTGCTTCCTCTCAGGAACGGATGGAGGCAAGATTCAAGTTTTCAAGTGAACAGCTGCAGAAAGTATGCAGGGAGATGCAGGCTATAGGAAGATTCTTGGAAACTGAGCGAGGCAAGAAAAGCATCCTTAGAACATGTTACAAGATATTCACTACATACTGTTCTGCATGGTTGAACAAAGTGGGGTTCATCTCCAGCTTTGCACACAAACTGCCGCCATGCATACCAATACTTCAATCAATAGCAAGATATTCAAAAGATGCTCTCTTACAGCTCATTTCCATCCATAAAAACAAGGCTAAAGTCAGTAGAAATTAGACAATTTTTCCTAGTGTGCATCCCTTCCACCATCTGCACTGTCCTTCACTTCTTCAGGACACACCCCTGACTCATCCGTAATTGCATTTAAATCTGCCTCGAGCTCCGACACCTCGCAGCCACTGCAGTGCTGCTGCAGAGCGTGCAGGCAGGCAGGCTGGGGAAGAGTCCCAGGGGACAAACAAACTCCACCAAAACCCTACAAAGTGAAATCCACGTGAGGCGAAATGGCAAAGGGGAAGTATTCATACCAAAAAAAAAACATTTAGGCACCATCATGGATGGTTTACTGTGCAACCTGAACTCTTTTTGCCTCGCTCAGGCAAACTGCGACAAAGCAGCGTTAAAAAAAAAAAAAAAACTCCTGAATTCTTCGTCTTTTTACATTTGCGACTATTTACAACGTTTTTCTTGGACATCATGTTCAACAGCAGCAAAAGCTTCTTTAAAAAAAAAAAAAAACAGCAGCCTACGTTACTGTAGGAGCTCTTTTCAGGACAATGTGCAGTTTCTACTGTGCGCTCGCAAATCTGTCCGCTCAGTCGATTTCTTGTGCAAGCCAGGTCTGAAAGAAAAAAAGTTCTCCATGCTTGGATAGAAAAGTATTCCACCCTGTTTATTAGCCACATAGTCAAACTTGTGGCCTCCTGCCAGCTTCCATGGCCGACCACTCTCTGGTCTCGACCACAGATTGTATATTACTTAATCGATCTAATTACAGAAAAGAAAATAAACCAGAGATAGTTCAACCCCCCCCTCTCCTCTGAGGCCCTCTGCGGAGTGTCAGCCCTATTTCTGACTCCAGCGGGTGTCTCTTACATGCAGGTTTAAGGGGGCCACAAGTGGGAACACCAAGGCACCTTTAAATCGTGCAGCAAAGGTAGTGCATTTAAGTTTTT